CCCCAAAACCCCAAAACCCCAAAACCCCATTAACTACTTTTTATGAAATATTTTATTTCAACAATAGATTTAAATAACCTTACATATATTCTATATATATTTTAGATAAGACTTTCTTATTTATTCACTGATATTGCATCATATTTATGAAGTTTTATTATAGGTAGACCCCATTGGGACTTATTTTCTGAATATTGCTGCTTTGACTATATTTCCCTGTCAAATCTCCTCCCGCCCCTTCTTATATTCTATTATTTATAGGTGGAATTTTAAAAATCGGTTGCTATTGTGGATTTTATGTTATATTTTGCTAGCTTTACAAATTTTTTTGTTTTTAAATTGTTTTATCACTGTTCAATTTATCTAGGCTTGGTATGCCTTTAGCATGCTTAAGAGAGTAGAAAGATCTTTATTCTTATTCAATTTCTTAATCTAAACGATTAATATCCTCTAATATAGCTTATTTAGACATTGGAGAGGATGGGGAATTCAAGCTCATAATTTATTATCTTTCGTTTCTTGGCATATTTAAATTTGATCCCCCAGAAGCGAGATTAAGCTTTGGTAGAGAGACCTATTTTTTTAAGTTTGAAAGCATTTAACTTTAGGATTGATGCATGCTAACTACACTCTTATGAGATTATGGAGTTACATTTACTTTATCAAATAATGGTTTTTCATTATTTTCTTAAATAGGGTATATTGCAGAATACTAGTGAGGACTTAATATTGTTTGCTGCTGAGTTCCAGTTGCAGTAGAGGGCATTGAATCAGAACTTTTATTTCGTTTTTTATCCATTAATGGATCATTATTCTGAAACCTACTTTTTTCGCTTTTATTTGAATCATTTACATATGCAATAGCTAATGTACCTCCCTGTGAATGTAGACCTTTAATTGCATGGCTTTTCTCACTATGAGGGCTTGCTAATTTATTCCTTACATTATTAGGATTTTGAGTTTAAGAAACCATACTATTCCGATTCATCTTAGAAGATCCTCCACCATTATTCGAATTATGCAAAACATTAACACTATTATCCCTATAATTATCATGCATGAAAGAGTTGTAAAACCTATTCTTAATAATCTTTTTGTAATGCTTGCTTATAAGTTCCTAGAAATCTTCTTTTAAAATGCTAAGCATTAATCTATTATACATCCCATGGGCTTTTGGTTTCATTTTAATTAGTCTGAAGTGAACCCACATAAGTAACTTGCAAAAATACTGATTTTACTCATTGACAAAGACTATTAGCTTCTCCAAACCCATTACATCAAAAGCAAACTTCATGATCTCAATGAGACATTTTTCTTCAAATCCACTTCTTCTATATATCCTTGAAATGTAAAATTTTGCAAGTAATCCTTTCTTTTCAGTTGCGTTTTGTTGTAATAAATGAGCAGTTCCAATAAGTGTTTTCCAACCGTATCCTGTCTTAATACTTATTCTCAATGCTGCATATTTATCATTCCTCAGTCTATAAGATGAGAACATTGATCTAAGATATTCCTCATCCATTTGATCAACCTTATATGGGTACATAAACTCTTCTCTTATAACTTAGTCATCATCTCTCGACATCATTTGTATTAGCTCTGGAATATGAGAACCGGAGAATTCTTCCAAAATAATCTCTTCTTTATGCTTTTCCTCCTTTTTTACCAATTCAAGTTTGGTTTGCTATTCAATAGCCTTCGCTTGGTTTTCTTAATGAGTGATGAGATTATGATTTTAGTGAATAAGTTACATAAGATTATTCCCAGGGGAATTTGGAGTTTATTATATCTACATTGAATTTACTTATTACATCTGCAATTAGTTATTTACTTGAGAGAAATTCTGGGGATATTTCAACGGAGATTGTTAAATTTGAATTTACTATTATGAGGGAACATTTGAAGGGTTAGTAGAATACTAGAAAACATACTAAGGCAGTTGAATTTGCATTGGAACTAGTTAGGGAAGCGATGATCTCTATTAAAAATTGCTTTCCATTCTTTGTTACAGATTTAATTTAGATAAATATTTAATAAATCTCTTGTAATTTAGTTATAGCTAACGCTAGGGGTTTTGGGGTTTTGGGGTTTTGGGG